CTTGAGGGGCGGGTCTCGGGCCGCGGTCGGCCCTCCGGGGACGCTGAGGTGCTTGTGGGCGAGCCGCCTGCAGGGTGGCCCCCGCGTAGGCGGGTGAGCCCCGCGGGACTGCCGCCTCTCCCGCGGGGACCGTCCCCGCGAAGACCCCTGGGCGGACGGGCTCCCGGGTTCCGTCTGCGTTTGCTGCCGCGGGGAGCCCCGCTGCCGGGCACCGTCCCCGGGGAGGAGACCGGCTGTGTAACTACGGGAGCGGGCAAGGGTGGTCTCCGGAGCTGGCTCAGTGGGAGACCGTGTGGGGGCACAGGGGAGCCTCGAGCCTGCGCAGTGGTGCTGGACCCCGCAGCGGACGCCCTAGACGGGGCCCTAGAACTGTCCAGAAGGAACGTCTGACTGGGGAGAGGGGACGCTGCCATGGGGGGGGTCCATGAGTGACTTCCCACAGCTCCAGGGGCTTTGGCTTTGACCTCCTTGTAGGGCTCGACATGCCCTCACTTGCCCCCCCAATGGCCTAGAGGTGGGGGTCTTGGGGGCTGCAGCCTCTTTCCATCCCTCTACAACCCCCTGCCCCAATCTGGATTTTCTTCTCCAGAGTAGCCCATTTGGCTCCAAGCTGAAACTACCGGAAGAGCACAAGGCCCCAGCGAGGGATGAGGACCAGCGAGTCCTCGAAGCAAAGATAGGAGACTTGACCCCTAGGCTTGACCATCCAGAAGGAAGCAGTAAGATCAGGTGGCATAACTGACTGTGGCAGATCCTAGATGGAAAGTCCTTTGAATGAAGAGAAATAAAGGTTATATGGGACAATTGAGCACCAAAATGCTAAGCACGATATGAGGTATGTTTAAATATATCATATAAGTCTTAAAACAACTCTGTGAAATTATCTGCTTCTAAAATGATATTTAGAAGAGGTTAATCAATTTGGTCAAGGTTTCAAAGGCTGGACTCATGAAATCTGTGTTTCAAATTTTATTTAGGAAGAAATGTGAAGGAGAGGCCGAAGCAAGAATGTATGTTTGATTAAGTTTAAAAGCTGCTATGGTTTGATTGTGTCCCCCAAAGTTCATGTGTTGGAAACTTAATCTCCAATGCAACATTGTTGAGAGGTGAGGCCTAATTAGAGGTGGTTAGGTCTTGAGGGCTCTGCCCTCATGAACAGATTAATGTCATTCTCTTGAGAGTGGGTGAGTTGTAAAAACAGGTTCAGCTGTCTTGCTCTCTCTCATGCTTCTTTGCCCTTCTGCCTCCTAACATAAGATGATGCCCCATGAAGCCATTCACTACATGTGGACCCCTCACTTTTTGGCCTCCCAGCCTCCAGAACTGTTAGATATACATCTCTATTTATAAAGAACCTGTTCTCAAGTATTCTGTTACAGCAGGTCAAAATGGACTAAGACAAGAGCTAAAGTGATCTTCTCTTAGAAAGAAACAGGGTAAGATATTTGCAAACTTAGATTTGGAGATTTCTTAAATTTGACACCAAAAGCACAGGTAAAAAAAGGGAAAAATAGATAAATTGGACTTCATCAAAATTTTAATTATTTTGTGCATAAAAGGACACTGTCTAGAGAATAAAATGACACCCCACAGAATGAGAGAAAATATTTGTATGTTATATATCTGAAAAATGACTAATATTCAGTATATATAAAGAACTCCTGCAATTCAACAAGAAACAACTTAATTCAGAAATGGGCAAAGAATGTGAATGACTATATGCACATAAAATACATGCTCAACACCAGTAATTATTAATTATTATGCAAGTCAGAACCACAATGAAGTTGGATGTGGTGGTGTGTGCCTATAATCCCAGCTACTTGGGAGGCTGAGGCAGGAATATCACTTGAGCCCTGGAGTTTGAGACCAGCCTGGGCAACACAGGGAGTCTCAACCTCAATTTTTAAAAACCCACAATGAGATATCACTTTGTGTACACTAGGATGGCTATTTTTTTTTTTTGGAAAATAACGTGTGGTGAGGACGTGGAGAAATTGGAACCTTGGGTGCATTGCCTGCAGAAATGTAAAATGGTGTAGCCACTTTGGAAAACATTTTATGGGTCCTCAAAAAGTTAAAGAGGACCTCCATATGACCTAGCAATTCTACTACTACATACTGAAGTATGTATCTAAGAGAAATGTGATGTGGTATAAAACCATCTACATTCCAAAATTTAGTAGCTCTTCCCTGTTACCAGAGAAGTCATCTATATCTGTTATATTGGTTACCTATCATCATCCCTCTAAATCCAGTTCACTATTCAGGTTCTACCTCTGAGGAAGCAGAGTGGATCTGATGAACTTGTAACTCCATAGTTTCTAGAAAACGAATTCTGGTGATTTGGTCTTCTCAGCCCTTTCTGGCCCACTCTGACCTAAAGAAAGGGAACTGACATTGTGATGTTAAATAAAGCCTTTGTTTTCCTGAATCATCTTTGCAGCATTTATTCAACAACTTACTGAATATTTGCTCTGTGTAAAGCAGTGGGAACCATCCCAGTTGTTCCTCTCTCTTAAACTCAAAGAAACTTTGGGATGACCCTTTTCTGTCTTTGAAACCCTTTGATTTTAGTTATTTTCCCCTACTTCCCTTTTCAGAAGTTTCTTTTGCTATTTTACTGCTGGTCATCCCTGCACCCCAACATGTTCTTCAGGGTCACTGTTAGTTACATTTTTAAGCCTTTATTAAATATCTGCCACTCCCACGTCAAGAAACCAGTGAAAGCACATAAGGATACTTTACATGCAGGATGATGAAGTTCCAGGCTGTTAGGAGGACTGCAGACTTCTTATCCACAGCTGTATAGAATAAGTTGAGGGAAAGGAGTTCTTTAGATGCCTTCTTCCCTAGCTCGTGCTATGGAGTAGTCTTCTCTTCCTCCTTCCTCTGCTTGCCCTTGTAAATAATCTCACTGCACTTGAAGCAGGTGCTCTACAGAGAATGGGTGTGCCTTGCACATGCACACATTCCTTTCTGCCCACATATGCCTTACTGCTTGAAAAGCACTTCTCTCGCCGTCATGACTACAGCATTGCATTAGCTTTCTATTGCTGTGTAACATACAACCCCAAACGTGGTCGTTTTATTATCTCACAGTTTCTGTGGTTCAGGAGTCCAGCCTCGTCTTCTGCTTATGGTCTCACAAGGCTGCAGCCAAATTGCTGCCTGGGCTACATTCTCAATCGGTGGCTTGACTGGGTAAGAATCTTCCAAACTCACTCGGGTCATTGGCAGAACTAGTTGTAGGACTGAGGGCCTTGGCTTCTTGTTGGCTGTCAGCTGAAGGCCATTCTCAGTATCTAAAAGCCACTCACAGTTTCTAGAGGCCACTTGCAGTTCTTTGTCATGTGGGTTTTCCCAACATGGCCACTTCATCAAGCCAGAGCAAGTATGCTAGAAGATGGAGTTATAGTAATGTAATCATGGAAGTGACTTCTTAGCCCGTTGCCATACTCTGTTGATTAGAATCAAGTCACAGGTTTACCCACACTCAAGAAGAAAGGATTATATAAAGCATGAACCCAGGAGGTAAGGATGTGTGGGGCCTCTAGAGACTGTCCCCACAAACAGTACTAAGGAATGGTTTAGGTTTGTCATCTACTCTCATTTCTTTTATTTCATTCAGCCAGATGGGCCTGTTCTGTTTTCTTGTCCCACTGTTGTTTATCACCACCTGGTCCTAACCCCCAGAAGTTTTTCCAAACCCTTCTGAAATTATTTGACATTCACATTGTCTCTGTGATATCTTCTATCTCTCTTTTCTTCCTTAATAAGGAAACCGGAAACCCCCAATTCCACCTACCAGCTAAAGAAGTAATCATTAAGCATACTTTATAGGGGTCTTTGTTAATTGACTTCCTTTTTAACCCAAGTGTCTCTCCTAGGACTTCTTCCAGCTCTGGGAAATCTATTTTTTGTTTTCCCTCACTAGCCATTTGTTTTTACCCATCACTAATCACTGTTGAGAGAGACAGAGAGGTAACCTGCCATGGACCCTTAGCATCCTTGAATATTCTTACTGGGTATGCCAAAAATGCAAAATTCTGTTTTTAAAATCTGTTGCTTAGGTTTATATTTGCAACAAGGAATTTTGAGGGTAAAAGGAATATCTACTCCTGGACAAAGATTACACTCACTTCTTATTATAAAAGCAGTGAGCCCCCAAAACTCAATGTTCCTAAACTATATGCAGCCTGTTGCATGTGCAGTTGTCTATCACAGACACTACCACCCTCGTGGGACTTGGGAGACAAGGGGAACTGATGCAAAAAACCATGTTGAAGGTTTTGCTATGTCTGTGCTGTGAGTAATAAAGTCC